ATCGATCTGGCATTGGCTGGGGGGGAAGAAGAAAAAAAACGCTGGACACAAACAAACTAAATGGTATTTGAAATTTACATAAACTGGCCATAAATTAAATTAGCCAGCGAAGGCTAAAGTATCTAACAGATACAAGATGCAGGCCAACACCAACACCAACTCCAGCCACAGCCACAGCTCATCATTATTTTGGAATACAATTAACACAAAGAGAAAGCAACTACAAGAATGTGTCCGCATCTGAGAGATACAGATACACATACTGGCATTAAATTTCCCTCAGGTATGCCCCGAAAAACTTTCGGTATTGAATAGCAATAAAAAAGCACACACGCGAGAAGCGGGAGAGATCAGTGGAGCCACAGATACATATGTATCTACGGTATGTATCTGCAGCTGTAAGTGTGTGCCTCATAACATTTAATTCATTGTTCCCCTAGATTTTTATGTACTTATTATGTATTCCATTTTGTAGTTTTCGTTTTTCGAGAGAGATCCGATCCGATCCGATCTCACGCTGTAAAGTGCTCTCTTGGCCATGGCTCAAAGGGGGAAAACAACGCGTATTGGCCAAGTTGTGCGTGGCGCGTTGGTTGTCATTAAATTTGCGTTTGTTTCATTGGTTAACTTGTTTCCTTTTCCTCTCTCTCTCGCTCTCCGCTCCGCTCCTCTTTGTTTTCTATTTCTATTTGCGCTGGCAGCTCTCTCGCTCTCGCTCTAGCAATGTATCTGCCTGCCTCTCCCTCTCTCTCCCTCTGTTTGTCTCTTTTTCTGCCTGTTCGCTTTCAATGTTTTATTTAATGATCGTGTTTACATAGTTAGCCCATCTCCTGCGCCCACGGAACTCCATTGAAATTAAACCTGATACAGATACAGATACAAATGCAGATACAGCTACAGCTACAGATACATATGTGGGTAAATCAATTATACTCGCAGATACACAAGCGGATACTGCGCCACAGATTTTACGATTATAATCCCAGAGAAACTATCTCTCAGACTTGGGGATCTGAGAGCTGGCTGTCTCAATAGAATTGAAAGCAATCATTGCAAGGGGTCTGTGGGTAGATTAAGCGAATAACTTGTCTAATGGAATTAACATTTATTAGCAAACATTATGGAAAATATATTTAATACTCGATTTAAAAAGAAAAAACAAGATAAATTTGTATTTTGGAATAAAAAATGATCACAGTAAAGATACCATTATGTCAGGTACCATTATATAATTATCGATTAATTCGGTGCATTGAAAACTACAAAAATTAGAGATTTTCTTTGCAAAAAAAATTTACGGATCAAATTTGTATTTTGCACTATATTTTCTTCCCATTTTTTAATTCAAAGGTATTGTATTTTATTTATTTAATATTCTCAAAAAGTAGAACCATGAAATTGAAGAAAAACGAACCCTAAGACCCCATAAATGCTCTTAATTTATGAAGATACAAGATACTTTTTGCACAAAGCCAGATACAGTTCAAACTTTCAAAGTTTCTATTGATTTTTAGGACATTACAGACCTCATAAGGAATGAGGAATGGCAATACCTGAGGAATGTTAGGATATCTCCAAGATATTCAACGATGATCGTTCTGGGAAAAAAGGTTCTTGGTAATGCCTTCAAACTTCAACTGTGGAAACCTTGATAGAAGATATTTTCCTTCTACAAATCCCAGTTTCCCAGTCCTTAAAACCCACCTGAAGAGCCCCAAGATCTGCTCAGATACTACTATATTTACACATCCCCAAGCTGTGCAGCGATAGGTTCCTTTTTGGAGGCCATCCAGCTGCTGGATCGATATGCGACCATTGGCGAGTGCTGCGGTGGACAGGTTAATTATAACATTAACCGACTGACAACTGGTCAAACGCTGATGCCATGGGAGCTGGCAGCAAGCAATCGAAGTATCTACAGAAAGAACACCCCCACACACACACAGCACACACACACTCTTGAAGCGTCGCTGGTGATTTGTGAAGCGGAAGGTGTTTGTTGCCATCCGCATCCAAATATACTTTTCCCACACTACCCCGAGAGCGTGTGAGAGTGCGAGAGAGCCACAGAGAGGTGTCCGTACAGTCCGCGCCAGTTTGTATAGCTCCCCCGCCTGGCTCTGGCTCTGGGTCGCGGTGCGGTGCGGCACGGTACTCGTCGTTCGGGGCACAATCAATTCCATATGACATTATTAGGTGGCTCGTTGGAGGTTGTTGTTGTTGCTGTTGCTATTATGTCATAATTTTAGGAAAAAAAGTGAAGCGCTCAACCAAAATAAATTAAAAATTGCTTTCATGCTTGAATTGTTTGGGGATGTTGGGGCTTCGATGTGTGGGGGGGTACTCCGATACGCTGCCGGCGAATCTTGGCCATGTGAAGCGGACTTCATTACCCGGCAATATCCAAATATAAAGCCACAGACCCGTTGTCGTTTGGATCGATCCCTCACTTTGTATCGTACGTATCTCATGGATACACACACAGACAGCCACCCGGCTCCCAAGTGTTTATGGTCTATTGGAAGTTTATAATGGATAATATGCTGCTGCCTCTGCCCCTGCCCCTCTTCTCTCTCTCAAATTCAAATTCAAATTTAGAACGCGGAATGAATGAAGTGCGCAATATTCAATTAAAGTCATTATTACGAGTAATTTCCCTTCGCTGGCGATCCCAAGCAATTGCCATTGATTGTTCGATAGAATCGATTGGATCCGGGGCAGATCGGTGGATCGGTGGATCGATGGATCGCTGGATCGGTAGGTAATCCCACACAGCCCCCCACACACTAATTGATATTCGAGTGCGAGGGGCAGCTGCTGCATTCGCATCTCATGGATGGATCCACCGAGAGAGAGAGATAGATCTTCAGACACCGGAAAAATTCATCAATTTTCAATTTGTATGTATTAAGGCGAACGTCCCCCGTCCCCCGCCCCCCCCGCTACACCGCCCACTACTCGCAGATCTGCCCCATGGTCTAAGCATAATGAGGCATTATGCAAAAAAGTCCCCGTACTCGTAGGTTTGTTTTTTTTTTTGTTGGTCGCTAATGAAGAGGCCACATACGGGACGTCTTTATTAAAAGTAATTAAGTCATTGTAATTGTCATTTGACGAATGATCTGAGAGGTGGATGAGTGGTAGGGGTGGTGTTGGGGGGCGGGTAGGCTGGGCGTAGGGTGAGTGGGGTGGGAAATTAAGGCCTCAGGTCGGGTCTGGCAGATCCAAAGCCAAGGAATTCGACAGTTCTATATTAGAGGGGATGTATTTTTGTTTCCAAGAACTTAAGGGAAGGACTAAGAGCAGGTTTAGGGAGCCATTCAGGGTCATTCTATGATTATCTAAAGGTATTTTCTAACTAAAATCAAAGGATAAACCTTCACGCCGAAAAAAATATATGATTTAGCCTTCTCTATCGATGCAGATAATCGTAATTCTTCCCAATTCCTTATATGGAGCTTCACGAGGTTATTGGGTATCCCCAATATAAGACCTAAATTCAAAAGATTTTATTTCAAGTTCCGAATAGACTCTCTCCAAGTAAATATAAACCCGTTGAGAGGAGAGATACCCCCAAATGGAGTTATTCCCAAAGTTCTTCAAGTCCCCAGAAATCTCCGCACAATGGAAGTCTTTTAGGGAGAGCTTTTCATACGAAATAAACCACCAACCAGTAAGGAGACCTCATGCCACGATTTCCATCTCCCACCCTGCCCCTGCCACATCTTCCATCTCCCTCTTTGTGCCTCCCTTCTCGGCGTCATTGAAGTAAGTAATAATTGTATCTAAATTTGTACGCAGAACATTTGAATCTTAATAAAATTTATAGTTATGACGAAAATATCTGCCTCCCTCTCTCTCTCTCTCTCCCTCTTTCTGTGTGGCTGTGGCAGCTTTAAAAGCATTTTTAACCAGAGACCCAACCCAACAGAAATTGAACTCAAGTGCAGACAATTGAAGCTCCTCAGAGGAGAACATTTTTGGACTGTGCGCCAGAGGCATAGCCTTTGAAGCTTGTACATGTGTGTGTGTGTGCCTCAGTGTGTGTGTGTGTATCGAAATATTTTTGATTTTGATTTCAATTCTCTCTATTTCATTTTTTGCACAAGCGGTTATTAACCAATGCAAAAAAAAAGAGGTCTGTAGCCGCTGGTCAGCGGAATTGGTCGAGTACTCGCGCCATTTGGTTAATTGATTTCATCATTTGTCGGGGCATATACCCCTCACCCCTTACCCCCCTCGAAGATCTATCCCAGGCTAGTCCACCCCATGTGAGTGCCTCCTGAGGGGTCTCTTTCCTGTTTTGGATGGCCTTAGAGAGGGTATTATCGAAGAAAAGACATTTTTTTGGTACACGATTTTTTCAGGGCGGATTTTGGATCTTTAACCACACTTTTGGCTACAAATAGGATCCTTAACCTACATGAAAATTCCATTAAAATATAGTTTTTTAATAGACTACTTTTATTTCTAAGCGAAAACCCATCCTTTATCAGTTTAATTCAAAAATAATGTAGTATTTATTCGGTATTTATTCCGTATTTATACCCCATTTTTTCAGTATTTATTCCGTATTAATTCCCTATTTATTTAGCATTCCATTGTGCAAGAGTATCTGGGACTTCGTTAACCGCAACCATGGCTTTTTCTCTCCAATTCGAATTTATTCTTTATTGTTTCCAACTGGACGTAAATCTGTCTCCAAGCCCGAGACGGGGGACCATCACAATTACGCCAAATTAAAAGTTATATTGCGTCGCTCTTTGATTCTATTAAGAATGTTAACCGGGGGGGCATTCGGGCACTCGGGCACTCGGGGGGAAGGGAATGCCAACTCGTTCAGATATTTAACAATATTAAGAAGCATTTCAATTGCGCCGCATTCAATTAGCGAATTGATTTGCCAGTCGTGGAGCCCCCCTGGAGATAAACTCTCCCTATTTCTATTCGTAAATATCTACCCCGTCTATATGGTAGGCATATATTTGAATGGTACTTACTGTACTTCTTTCTTCGAAGCAGGTTTTCTCGTTTTTTTCTACTGCAGGAGTTCTTCCTTCGGCTCCAGCTGCAATTTCAATTGATTCTGTTTCTGGTATTTCTGCTGCAGCTTCAGTCTGTAACAAAAGATACAAAAAAATATAAGAAAAAAAAACCCAGTTGACCATTAGAACAAGTTTGTATGGAATCCCTTCGATGAGGCGACCGGCGATAAAAGTGTCAATTGCAATCAGAATTTATTGCCACCTTGCGATGCGTTTCGATGCGTTGCTCAATTCGAAATAGATACATTCCATCCCCCAATGCATTAGAGCCATCCCACACCTCGGACCTCAGTCCCTGTGCTACCTGTTCCCGCATGGACCCTGGTCTAATTGCACCCACTTAGCACTGGGCTCTGTTGATTTTCGTTGCTGGCAGGCTGTAGGATTTCCCTTTGATCCCACATATAAATTTTGCTAGATGACAAGGCGGCCTTTTCTTTATCCCCGAATGCTGGTAGATACCAAAAACAGATCTTAAGTCTGGGGGAGAGGAGAACAGCGATCATTCGTGCAACGATTGGTGGTGGATCTAATGGAAATACTAGAATATTTCCAGTACTTTAAAGGAGGATAAGGGTTGAGGGAACTGTTGGAAGAGATGAGGATTTCTTTGACATCTTTGATGGAAACTTTTTTCTAGTGAGCCGAGGGTTGGCGCACGAGCAAGAGAAGCTTGTGAGCCGAGGGTTGGCGCGCAAGCAAGCCAAGCTAGGGAGCCGAGGGTTGGCGCACGAGCTTGCAAAGCTAGTGAGCCGATGGTAGGCGCACGAGCAGGCGAAGCTTGTGAGCCGAGGGTTGGCGCACGGGCAGGCTAGGCTAGTGAGTCGACGGTTGGCGTACGAGCTTGCAAAGCTACTGAGCCGAGGGTTGGCGTACGAGCAGGCGAAGCTTGTGAGCCGAGGGTTGCCCCAAGAGCCTGCAAAGCTAGTGAGCCGAGGGTTGGCGCACCATTATGCAGGGCTCTTCTGTATGGATTTATCTCCCAGATTCTACCCCGCATTTCGGCCTCTTCCCAAGTAAAACAATAACCAAACTAATTACTGATACGCGTGGAAATTTTGGGGCAGCTGGAAAAAAAAAGGGTTACCCTCTAAGAAGGTGGCTGGAAAATTATGCGCTGCAATTTTTATTGCCTCATTGTTTTGGGGCATGTTCGTGGCGCTGGGTTCTTTGCATTGTTTCAGGGCTCTGTCTGGACATTTTTGGGTTAATGTTAATTACCCGAACTGCTTTCGCAACCGAAAACTGAGGAAAACCCAAAGCAATTAAAATTTTTATGACGCACTGAGTTATTACTTCAAATCCACAAACTTGAGTAATGACCACGCCCCCCTCCGCAGCAGCAAAGGACGTGAGAAAGACTACCAAACAAAAAATGAAAAGAAAAGGGAAAATGAACGCCCACAAAACAGAACAGAAACAGAATAAAAAGCAGCAAGATTTCAAGACCAAGAACAAGGAGAGATATTAAAAAGATTTATTGCTTTATGATTTCCAGAGGGGTCACGACCAGAGACCAGATACGGAAGACCGGACTGGGCTAGAAGTGCAACTGCCGTCTGCTACCTGGTGCGGCAAGAGGTCAAAGGTTAGCTACAAATCGAATCGGTTTGCTCTGGTCTGCGGATCGATCGCCCGGGGGATCGGGGGATCGGGTGTTCATCCGCCTCAGATTCAGATACCATTTGACATCGCCTGCACTTTCACTTTGAACTCAACTGAAAAGTCTGTAATTAAACTCCAACTATCAAAATGCAATAAATTATACAAATGTTTACAATACAACGACTCCACGGCGACTTGCGCTCAGGTCTCTCCCGGCATTTCATTCGTTGATAATTTACATAAAACGATTTTCGGTTAGAAAATCCCCCCAAAAAAAGCCATTCAAGCTGTGGCTGTTGCAAGTGAAAAGATTTACGAAATCAGATATGTGAAAGTTTATTAATTAGCCAGCAAATGCCATGCCACAGCGCTGGGAGACTCTCGGGAGACTGGAGATGGCATTGAAGATGGGGCTCTGAGGGAGGCGGGCAGGTCTCTCTAGTTGAAGCAGAGATTCTCACAATAAAGATGTGATTGAGGGAATGAGTAGAATGACAGATTGAAGCATAATTTGCCTGTCAGAGACTCAAAGATCTTGCAGATCTTTTGAATGTATTATAAAATGGTTTTGATTTACTATAAAATATGTACCTTTTGACATTCTTTGGACAAAATTTATTGATTGGTAGTTAATTTTGTTGAGAATTATTGCCACTAAAGACCTGCCATACAAAAGAGTTGAGGAAACATCAACAAAGGTAGAAACCTTTAACTTTGGGTCACCATATCTTCACGTATATTCTCCTTATCGACTCGAATCAAAAATCCTGTTAAAGCTCGATCTATTATCTTTGCAAATCATTAACTTTTAAGGATATCCGCACTGCAGATACCGTGTACAAATTAGGACAGTGCGCAAAGACACAAAATCGCGGCTGTTGAATTTTTTAAAAATATTTTCGGAAACGAACCACAAAATGACTATCTTCCAGTGCAAATTTATAGTTTTTCCAATCACTTTTCTCCGCCCAAATACAATCGTAACCCTAGCCGATCCTCCTCTAAGCATTCCTCCAAGTAACGCACAATCTTCCGCCCCATCAACCCTTAAATAAAACCCCTTCCCCCAGGCTCTGACGTCATTCCGCTCTAAACCAAAACGTAGCCTCGCTGGTAATTACTTCTTCTAAAATACGAGGATGTATAGCCTTCGTTTACGTACACCTAACAAGCCGCAAAACACTGAAGTTGTTTCCTTTCGAGGCGTTCGTCGATTGTGTGTGTGTGGGAGGCGACAGGACACAAAGGATTGCATGATTAGGACGCATATCAATTACAGCTACAAGACTCTCACCCTCTCTCACCCTCTGGGCGCCCTCCCTCCCACTGTACGAGTCCCTAAGCCAAATGCGATTAACATAAAAGGTCAGCAGGGGCTACATGGCAAGCACACCAAAGAACTGCCCAAACAACGGCCCAAACAACCATAGAAAGTGGTTACACAAAAAATACAAACTGTAGTAATAGGCGTAATAAGAATAATTGGTGATATGGGGGCCCTGGTCTGGGTCTGAGTCCTGGTGCGTGTTGAGGGGTCGCTGGAAAGCGTTGACTTGTGACCATTTCATAAATACCGTTATAAACAAATTACGACTACAACAACAACGAATGGATGTATTTTTTATTGCTCACATTTACACATGCTGTAACAACGCCCAAGCCCCCCCCCGAAAAAACATGGAAAAGAATTATGAATTTCTAATGAAATTAACCTCCTGCCAGGATCTGGCCTCGAGCCGGGGGCGAGTGAGAGTGTTTATTTGCTGACGGGCCCACAACTATCCACAAAACCCATACAATGCCATTCTACAGGACAGCTGGAGACCCGAACTCCTCCCGTTTTTGATACTCCTCCCCCGTCGCTGCTGCGGCTGCCAATGACCCCGTCTTGCCGTTCGCACATTGTAATTTTCGGTAATAAAAACGTTTTTTACTTCATAATTTTCGTGTGTGGGCTGGCACTGCCAAGGATAATTGCAGGCAGGACTTGCAAGGAATCGTAGAGCTAGGTAGCGACTGGGGTTGGAGAGAGAACTTAAAACAATGTGGGTTGTGCCTCAGAAAAGTTAAATAAACCCCCTTTAGATATAGGTAAAATGAAAGTAAGTCTTTCTTTGTCAAATGCTGAGATCTTTCAATATACTTTGAAGGCTAATCGTTTGTCCAGGCCTTCTATCTCCTCTTTTCTGTACAAAGAACAGCTCAAACCTTGGGCTCCTCATGGCTTAAATGCAATTGCTGTATATAAAAGCTTCCACATATCCAAACGATTTATTTCTGCGCCTCGTGAATCACCTTCCAATCGAAAAACAGCAACAAGAGAGGCCTGGGAGAGGCTTGGGGGGGCTTCGGCGGCATTGGGGGCCCCGCCAACTGTCCAGTTAAGCTTAAGTGGGTATTAATTTCTCCCCAATGACGGGGCGGCGTCCTTGCCTCCGCACCTCCACACCTCATCGGCAAACTCCACGCTTCGGAAAGCCAAGAACAAGCTGCGATTGCATTACCACAACATTTTGAGCCACGAAGAAGGCGGGGGGGCATGAGGGGCACGAGGGGCAGCCGTAAGCAGTTAGTCACAAATACAATCGCGTAATTAATTAAGCGCGTCAGCTGGACACTGCCCGCTGGTCGGTCGGAAGGGACCCTGGAAAGGATAAGCACAGTGGAACAAATTGGTGAATGCCGCGATGGTAGGGGAGGGATACAAGGACAGTGGGACACAGAAACTCCATAGAAGGGCAGGGTTTTTCTTTGGAATTGCAGAAAAATGTTCCATACATTTTGCTGGCGGAGTCCCTCTCCTAACTTGTTGCTCTGAAAGTGCCTACGAGGCCCATTGTCCGCTTAGGACCCCCTGCGGGGCACGGGTGCTTAAACCGCGACACACGCATCGGGAAAGGGGTGGGCTGGCGGGTGTGGGGGTGGGGGTGCACCAACAAACACACCTCAAATCGCGTTTTGTCCTTTATCAGGTAATTCACTTTTTAACTTGCTCTTCGCATTTTATTTTGTAATACCACTTGGGGGCTGTCCATTCGTTCTCCGTTTTTTTTTTTTTTTTGTAATTGTTTGCCATTAATTACGGGGGCAAAGAAGGAGACGAAGCAGAAGACGGAGCAGCACAGCAAAGTCGAAGTCGCGCAAATATTTCCGCTTGTACGATGCCCAGCGCCAAGCCCCAAGCCCCAAGCCCCAACCCCCCGTAATCTGCGGGCAGTTGTTAATTTTATTTATAAGTCCGAATGACACACCTTCCTGCCAACTCGATTTACGATCTGTGCATTAACGGTTAATGGCAGGCACTGTCGATGTCTCTCCCTCTCTCTCTTCTTGTGTGTCTGCTATTGGAACAATTGGCATTTCGCTATTTAATTGCACTCCGAAGCGAGCCAGGACGAGCCTTTCAAATAGAACTTGCCCAAATATGATTTCCGTTTCCGGTTATTGCGCGGCTACCACCCTCCCCC